GTCTCTCACACAGGCTACAGGACTGTCTCTCACACAGGCTACAGGACTGTCTCTCACACAGGCTACAGGACTGTCTCACACACACACAGGCTACAGGACTGTCTCTCACACAGGCTACAGGACTGTCTCTCACACAGGCTACAGGACTGTCTCACACACACACAGGCTACAGGACTGTCTCACACACACACAGGCTACAGGACTGTCTCACACACACACAGGCTACAGGACTGTCTCACACACACACAGGCTACAGGACTGTCTCACACACACACAGGCTACAGGACTGTCTCACACACACACAGGCTACAGGACTGTCTCACACACAGGCTACAGGACTGTCTCACACAGGCTACGGGACTGTCTCTCACACAGGCTACAGGACTGTCTCTCACACAGGCTACAGGACTGTCTCACACACACACAGGCTACAGGACTGTCTCTCACACACACAGGCTACAGGACTGTCTCAAACACACACAGGCTACAGGACTGTCTCACACACACACAGGCTACAGGACTGTCTCTCACACACACAGGCTACAGGACTGTCTCTCACACACACAGGCTACAGGACTGTCTCTCACACAGGCTACAGGACTGTCTCTCACACACACAGGCTATAGGACTGTCTCACACACACACAGGCTACAGGACTGTCTCACACACACACAGGCTACAGGACTGTCTCACACACACACAGGCTACAGGACTGTCTCACACACACACAGGCTACAGGACTGTCTCACACACACACAGGCTACAGGACTGTCTCTCACACAGGCTACAGGACTGTCTCTCACACAGGCTACAGGACTGTCTCACACACACACAGGCCACAGGACTGTCTCTCACACACACAGGCTACAGGACTGTCTCACACACACACAGGCTACAGGACTGTCTCACACACACACAGGCTACAGGACTGTCTCTCACACAGGCTACAGGACTGTCTCTCACACAGGCTACAGGACTGTCTCACACACACAGGCTACAGGACTGTCTCACACACACACAGGCTACAGGACTGTCTCTCACACACACAGGCTACAGGACTGTCTCACACACACACAGGCTACAGGACTGTCTCTCACACAGGCTACAGGACTGTCTCTCACACAGGCTACAGGACTGTCTCACACACACACAGGCCACAGGACTGTCTCTCACACACACAGGCTACAGGACTGTCTCACACACACACAGGCTACAGGACTGTCTCTCACACAGGCTACAGGACTGTCTCTCACACACACAGGCTACAGGACTGTCTCTCACACAGGCTACAGGACTGTCTCTCACACAGGCTACGGGACTGTCTCACACACACACAGGCTACAGGACTGTCTCTCACACACACAGGCTACAGGACTGTCTCTCACACACACAGGCTACAGGACTGTCTCACACACACACAGGCTACAGGACTGTCTCTCACACACACAGGCTACAGGACTGTCTCACACACAGGCTACAGGACTGTCTCTCACACACACAGGCTACAGGACTGTCTCACACACACACAGGCCACAGGACTGTCTCACACACACACAGGCTACAGGACTGTCTCACACACAGGCTACAGGACTGTCTCACACAGGCTACGGGACTGTCTCTCACACAGGCTACAGGACTGTCTCTCACACAGGCTACAGGACTGTCTCACACACACACAGGCTACAGGACTGTCTCTCACACACACAGGCTACAGGACTGTCTCACACACACACAGGCTACAGGACTGTCTCACACACACACAGGCTACAGGACTGTCTCTCACACACACAGGCTACAGGACTGTCTCACACACAGGCTACAGGACTGTCTCTCACACAGGCTACAGGACTGTCTCACACACACAGGCTACAGGACTGTCTCACACACACACAGGCTACAGGACTGTCTCTCACACAGGCTACAGGACTGTCTCTCACACAGGCTACAGGACTGTCTCACACACACAGGCTACAGGACTGTCTCACACACACACAGGCTACAGGACTGTCTCTCACACACACAGGCTACAGGACTGTCTCACACACACACAGGCTACAGGACTGTCTCTCACACAGGCTACAGGACTGTCTCTCACACAGGCTACAGGACTGTCTCACACACACAGGCCACAGGACTGTCTCTCACACACACAGGCTACAGGACTGTCTCACACACACACAGGCTACAGGACTGTCTCACACACACACAGGCTGCAGGACTGTCTCTCACACACACAGGCTACAGGACTGTCTCTCACACACACAGGCTACAGGACTGTCTCACACACACACAGGCTACAGGACTGTCTCACACACACACAGGCTACAGGACTGTCTCTCACACACACAGGCTACAGGACTGTCTCACACACAGGCTACAGGACTGTCTCACACACACACAGGCCACAGGACTGTCTCTCACACAGGCTACAGGACTGTCTCTCACACAGGCTACAGGACTGTCTCACACACACACAGGCTACAGGACTGTCTCACACACACACAGGCTACAGGACTGTCTCACACACAGGCTACAGGACTGTCTCACACACACACAGGCTACAGGACTGTCTCTCACACAGGCTACAGGACTGTCTCTCACACACACAGGCTACAGGACTGTCTCTCACACACACAGGCTACAGGACTGTCTCACACACACACAGGCTACAGGACTGTCTCTCACACAGGCTACAGGACTGTCTCACACACACACAGGCTACAGGACTGTCTCTCACACACACAGGCTACAGGACTGTCTCACACACACACAGGCTACAGGACTGTCTCACACACAGGCTACAGGACTGTCTCACACAGGCTACAGGACTGTCTCTCACACAGGCTACAGGACTGTCTCACACACACACAGGCTACAGGACTGTCTCACACACACACAGGCTACAGGACTGTCTCTCACACAGGCTACAGGACTGTCTCACACACACACAGGCTACAGGACTGTCTCTCACACACACAGGCTACAGGACTGTCTCTCACACACACAGGCTACAGGACTGTCTCACACACACAGGCCACAGGACTGTCTCACACACAGGCTACAGGACTGTCTCTCACACAGGCCACAGGACTGTCTCACACACACACAGGCTACAGGACTGTCTCTCACACAGGCTACAGGACTGTCTCACACACACACAGGCTACAGGACTGTCTCTCACACACACAGGCTACAGGACTGTCTCACACACACACAGGCTACAGGACTGTCTCACACACAGGCTACAGGACTGTCTCACACAGGCTACAGGACTGTCTCTCACACAGGCTACAGGACTGTCTCACACACACACAGGCTACAGGACTGTCTCACACACACACAGGCTACAGGACTGTCTCTCACACAGGCTACAGGACTGTCTCACACACACACAGGCTACAGGACTGTCTCTCACACACACAGGCTACAGGACTGTCTCACACACACACAGGCTACAGGACTGTCTCACACACACACAGGCTACAGGACTGTCTCTCACACACACAGGCCACAGGACTGTCTCACACACACACAGGCTACAGGACTGTCTCACACACAGGCTACAGGACTGTCTCACACAGGCTACGGGACTGTCTCTCACACACACAGGCTACAGGACTGTCTCACACACAGGCTACAGGACTGTCTCACACACACACAGGCTACAGGACTGTCTCTCACACAGGCTACAGGACTGTCTCTCACACAGGCTACAGGACTGTCTCACACACACACAGGCTACAGGACTGTCTCTCACACAGGCTACAGGACTGTCTCACACACACACACAGGCTACAGGACTGTCTCTCACACAGGCTACAGGACTGTCTCTCACACACACAGGCTACAGGACTGTCTCTCACACAGGCTACAGGACTGTCTCTCACACAGGCTACAGGACTGTCTCTCACACAGGCTACAGGACTGTCTCTCACACACACAGGCTACAGGACTGTCTCTCACACAGGCTACAGGACTGTCTCTCACACACACAGGCCACAGGACTGTCTCTCACACAGGCTACAGGACTGTCTCACACACACACACAGGCTACAGGACTGTCTCACACACACACACACAGGCTACAGGACTGTCTCACACACACACACAGGCTACAGGACTGTCACACACACACAGGCTACAGGACTGTCTCTCACACAGGCTACAGGACTGTCTCTCACACAGTCTACAGGACTGTCTCACACACACACACAGGCTACAGGACTGTCTCACACACACACAGGCTACAGGACTGTCTCTCACACAGGCCACAGGAGGTTACTCTTAGGGGAGGAACCTAAAGGGAAAACTCCTCTGAATATTTAAACAAAATGAATACTAAGAGGCAGGGAATGTAGATTAGTGGTAGAGTGCTTGCTGGTGTGCATGAAGCTCTGGGTTAGATTCCTCAGTACCACATACACAGAAAAACTGGAAGTGGCACTGTGGCTAAAATGGTAGAGTGCTAGCCTTGAGCAGAAGAAGCTCAGGGACAGTGCCCAGGTCCAGAGTTCAAGCCCCAGGATTGGCAAAAAATAATAAATAAAAATTGAATACTAAGAAATGGCAGCATGGATTTCTGTTGGTGGCGGTGTGGTGGTGTTTGTTTTTAGCCTTTCTTTTTGTCTTTTAAGGGGGAGGCAATGGATAGTGCAGAAAGAGAGGAGGGGTGAACAAATGTAGTCATGGTATTCAGTATACCCTGTGTGGAAAATGAGCTATGCAACACGTGATCCCGGACCGGGGAGACTAGGAGAGAGAAAAGGAAGGGGTGACACCGTCCAAAAAAGAAATGTGCTCGTTACCCGGCTTAGGAAACGGTAACCCCTCTCTACACCACCCTCCTCCTAACAACGTTATGTTGAAAAAAGATTTGTAAGACTAAAGTTAAGTTTGGCTAAAAGTGCTACTGATACCAGCTTTTATTCTTGGTAATTTGTATGCTTCTATTTTCTTCTTAAGAGTTAAGGTCATGAACAAACTCTCCTTTTATTTTTTAGCATCCTTACCCAACAGAAGATGAGAAAAAGCAGATTGCTGCTCAGACAAATCTGACACTACTCCAAGTGAACAACTGGTAAGACAGATGCACAGCTTTCTGACACCATGTCCTTACTGCAATAGAACCTGGAGAGGTGACCCATACACACAAAACAATCAGTCAGCAGCCCCAGGTGGCTGCAGGCCAAGGGGAGTCGAGAGCTGGATGGGCTTTGGGCTGGGGACAGTCTAGCTGTTCCCACCCTTCCCCTTCACAGGAAGGCACGCTCTGCTAACAGGCCAGTTATCAGCGAGGACAGTATCTGCACTCATGGGCGGGGAAGGAAGAGCTGGTGGGGGGCTCAAGGCAGGGCTTGCAAGTGGAGGAGCACCCGAACTCACACCTGTCATCCTGGCTACTTAGGAGGGTGAGGTGTGAGGACTGTAGCTTGAAACCAGCCGGGGCAAGCAAGCTCGTGAGACTCCTATCGCTGATAAACTACTTAGAAAAAGCCAGAAGTGGCACTGTGGCTCAAGTAGTAGAACGCTAGCCTTGAGCACAAAGAGGCTCAGAGACAGTGCCCAGACCCTGAGTTCAAGCCCCAGGACTGGCAAAAAAAAGAAAAGGAAATACTGTTGAGACGTCTGCATGCTCTGAGCTGGCGAGACCCCGTCCCCCGAGAGCTGCCATTGCTGGCAGGGCGCCAGGAATGCGCGTGCTCACGGCCCGCCCCCTGCTTCATCTCCATGCCCACTGCAGACTGCCTGTCTCTCAGTGACGCCTCCACCCCAGTCCCACGATCTTTCTGAACTGGGACGCCCAGGGATGGCCTCTGGGCGGGACAGCGAGAGTCAGGGGTGCTCTGGCTTCTACCTGTAGCTCAAGGGCGCAGTTTCTCTCCCATCTGTTCTGAGACAGTTGTGTTGCGTGGCAGGGCCTGGAGCCATTCGCTGAGAGCATGCCCAGGGACATGGCTATTTGTGGATGGAACATCCTCTTCTGGGTCTGGGGTCACGTCCTGGTAAGGTCACTCGGACCCCGGCCATGTGTTTTCCTCCAGAGAGAGGACGCTTTCCACCCAGTGCTCTTGTGTAGAGGTGCAGCTCCATTCAGTAGCGTGGTTACTTGTCTCACTTTTCTTATTCAGGTGTGAGAAGCAATGTCAGCTTCTGGTATGCATAAGAGAAGGCACAAATCCTACCAGTTGTAAACATTATTGTCCTTACTTTATCTATGCTAACATGTAAAATTGTTAAAATTTCAATATAAGCAACAGACTTTTATATTTATGCATAGATGCAACCAGGTATGCTTTAGTGTTGCATTAAATACTTCTATTGTGCCAGGTATTAGTGGATCACATCTCTAATCCTAGCTACTCAGAAGGTTGAGATCTGAGGATCATGGTTTGAAGCCAGGTCAGGTAGGAAAGTCCCTGAGATGCTTACCTCCATTAATCACCAAAAAGCCAATGTTAGAGTTGTGGCTCAAGTGGTAGAGCACTAGCTTTGAGGAAAAGAAAAAGAAATACAAACTTCAAGGACAGAACCCAGGTCCTGAGTTCAAGTCCCAAGACCAGCATACACCAAAATTTTTTTCTATGATTTTGTATTAGGGCTGTTATTTTATTTGGGTAGCAATAACACATCGTACCACTTGAGGTAATGCCTTCAGGTAGAATGCTAGCGCAGGCTTAGTGTCCAAGTGGGAGCATCTCATGGGTCCATGGTCCAGGCTGGGCAGGCCTCCTGTAGAGCCTCAGGCACTGGGTGGTGGCCGGCGTGGGGAGCTAGGACAGAGAGGGGCCAGGCCAGAGACTTTAGGAAGTTCCAAGTTGATGTGGCTTTTCTCCCCAGTGGGTGGGCCCTGCCTTGACCCCACCTGCTCTTCCTTCCCTGTTCATGAGTGCAGAGAATGCCCTACCAGCCCGGCCTTCCAGTGTGAGGGAAAGGGAGGCCACACAAGACTGTCCCAAGCCCAAAGCCCCTCCAGCTCATAACCACCCTGGCCTGCAGCCACCCGGGGCCGCCTGCTGACTGCTTTGTGTGTTTCAGTTCCTAAGTTGAGTAGTTTCCTCAAAAACAGCTTCAATGGTTTGTGCTGGATAAATACTCAACTTCTCAGGGGTGCTCATTGGCAGTAGTTTGACCTGTTACTGTAAGGACAACAGAGAGAAATAGAATAATGTCATGTAGAATAAGGTCCAAGTTGTTGTTGCTGTGATGTAGCTTTGTGAGTCCTGCTTAGCTGCTCCCTGCCCTCCAGACCTGCGGCCCCACCCCCGCCCCCAGCACACAGAGCAGCGCAGTCCCAGGGGGTCAATCACTGTCCACACACAGGCGCTGTGCTAGGTAGCTCACCATCTGGAATGGTGTCGGGAAGCGGTGGAGCGTTACCCAGGCCCTTACTCTGGTGAGCCAGAGAGCTCCCTGGTGGCCCAGCATGTGGTCTGGCCAGCGGCACAGCACGCAGCCTCAGGCAGGAGGAGAGGACTGGATTCATAAAGTCTTGCTACTTGAACATTTTCTTCCTTACAAAAAATAATGTCGTATCCACATTTGTGTCATCATGAATGCCTGATTTCACCCATGTAGAGAAAATCAGGTGAGCTTAAAAATTTACTTCTCAGCCTTTTTCTGTTTGTTTTAGCTAAGATCAATTGCAGATGAGGTATAAAAACAAAACAGAAACCCTTCACCAAAAACCAGAAAGGTGCCATGGAAGAGTGGATCCTTATTTAAACCAATTGCTATGTAAATGGCAGGCCCTAGGTTTCTGGAGACTTTGCTCACTCATTCATTTCACTGTTGGATCTCGGGGCCTGATTGCTAGGTGTGTTCATTAGGAACGTGGACTGCAGGAGGCTCTCCATGTCCCTTCCTTCTCACAGGTTCATCAATGCTAGAAGACGAATTCTCCAGCCAATGCTGGATTCCAGTTGCTCAGAGACCCCGAAAACAAAGAAAAAAACGGCTCAGAACAGGCCGGTTCAGAGGTTTTGGCCTGACTCAATCGCTTCCGGCGTGCCGCAGCCGCCTCCAAGTGAGCTCGCCATGTCAGAAGGTACGTGTCGCTGTGGACAGAGGTGGTCGTGTGAGCTGGGGCCCGTGTCGCTGTGGACAGAGGTGGTCGTGTGAGCTGAGGCCTGTGTCGCTGTGGACAGAGGTGGTCGTGTGAGCTGAGGCCTGTGTCGCTGTGGACAGAGGTGGTCGTGTGAGCTGGGGCCCGTGTCGCTGTGGACAGAGGTGGTCGTGTGAGCTGGGGCCCTGTGGGCTGCTGTGTGCTCAGGCTAGCTCCGAGGAAGCTGTGGAGTGAGTGTGTCGGTGCTGGGCTCCGGCCAGAGCTGGAGGATGTGAACCCTGTGCGCTCGTTGTAGAGTAGACGTGACCGTGTCCTTCGCTTCTGGTTTTGCTTTCCTCCTCTGCCAGTGTCGGGTGCAGCTGGCACAACGGGTCTCCCCCTGGCCGCCTGATGTCCTCCCCTGTTTCAGTGCAAGTGCCTGTCTGTAGTTTTATTTCTTCTCCTTCTCTCCCTACCGCAGGCCGCCGTCCTCACGTGGTTCAGGAGCATCTTTGTGTTGCACGCATGCTTCAAATGTTAGAACGCTTTGTGTGCCACTTGTTTGGCTTTAAGTGGGTGGCCTTGGGCTCGGGCTTCCAGCAAGGGCCACATCATGGAGACACAGGAAGGGGAGGAGACCAGCGTCCCCAGCCCGCTTCGAGGTCCTGGGCCCCCACATCCACACCATAACCATCACGGTCCTCTCCTCCCTCCCCTGCCTCAGAAGAGGCAAGGATGACCCGAATTTCAGACTAGAGTAACCAGTGGCTTCTGATCTTTGGAGAGACAACCAGTCCGTTTTCCTGTGCTCCCTGCTAATTCTGTTCATAGATGGGAATGAATAATTTATCTCTTCTACGGTTCTTCTTGGCTGTGTGCGTATCATACAGATATGCAAATATGTGAGGTCTCTTCGTGTCGTTACTTACTAACATCCTGTGGACACCACGTGTCTCCTTGCTAATACCTGGTTGGAACCTGCAGATCCGCTCACTGTATTCATGCGCCACATCCCTGTTCTGTGTGGGTAGTTTCCTTCCTTGGCTGTCAGGCTCGACGACAGAGATTTACATATTACACTGTTACTGTCTCTTCTTTTTTGCCCTCTCAAATTGGTCTTCCTGCCTCTGACCTGCTTCTCTTTTGCGTTTGGTTTTATATACATCTTGGTCCCATGTCCTGGGTTCTCTTTCTCTCTGGAGCATGCTTTGGCCTGGAAATCTGCCGTCCATCACACTGACCTCTGTTGACCTAACTTCCCATCCAGATGTCCTTAGCTGGGCGTGGCCTGCGCCTCTGCGGGGCTCTCCACAGACACCTAGGCTTCTTAAGGTTCTTCAGGTTCAGCCAAGCCAGCTAGCAGCACCCGTGGAGAGCAGACAGCTCTTCTGAGCCGTAACTCCCTGTGCTCCGCTGCAGGTACCGTCGTGACCATCACCACGCCTGTGAACATGAACGTGGACAGCCTGCAGTCCCTGTCCTCGGACGGGGCCACCCTGGCCGTGCAGCAGGTCATGATGGCGGGGCAGAGTGAGGATGAGTCCGTGGACAGCGCGGAAGATGAGGGGGATGCGCTGGCCCCCACGCACATGGGCGGCCTGGTGCTAGAGAACAGCGACTCCCTGCAGTAGGGCCGGCCGAGCCGGTGCCGCCAGCACCCGCCGCGCCCGCGGCGCACCCGACTTCTTACTGTTTGCACAGCAAACATTTTACAGTTTTATTCTAATATGTTTTATATGTAGATATAGGAGCGTGCACTTTTGTATTTCATAGTAGGGTTAACAAGCGGCCTTGCCGCTGCCGCGACTTCTTCAAACGTGCGTGTGTGGGTTTTTAAGGAACTTCTTCAAAGGTTTACTGCTAGAACCGTGAATGATGCCCCTGCCCCCCATTTTGAATCCCTGACTAGATTAAGGAGTTGTGCTGCCATTTTCTAAAAAAATTATGCAGTCGTAATTGAGTTCTGTGGTTTGCAGCAGACCTCGGGGGCCGCCCATGTGCGTGGCCACGGGTGGAAGAGCCGGGCTGGCCGCGCTGGGTTCCCCGGCGTGCACGGTACTGGCCCGCGAGCCCGTTCATTTACTATGTAGAAAAAGAAACTCCTATTTTTACCTTGCTGGAATTATTGGATAAAAAGCTATTTTTATAAATTCACTATGAATTGGATTATGAGTATATTGAGGATAAATTTCTAGAGAAGGAACACTACACTACATGCTTGTTTTCCATTTGGAACCTTCGGAATCGCCAGATCCCACGGCCTGCCGGCTGCTGCCCCGCTGCAGGCTCCCGTTTCCCTCGGGAAGTTTACCCTTTAACTGCTAAAAAAGGAGCGACCATCTATCTAGCTGATGAATTGTGTGTGACGCTCACATTGCGTTTTACGGTGATCTAAGAAGCACGGAAGGGCGTGGTGACTAGAACTTGAGGTAAGTGACGTGAGAGGCCGCAGCCTCACAAGCTCCCACTGTCGTCCTGTCTAATTTAAATTTGACCTCAGTTACATGGCTGCCTTACCGTGCTAACTGTGCATCGTTTTAGAATTTTTTTTAGCCAGAATATGTAATGGATAGAATGTTTATTAGAAACTAACGTACCGTGTGCTCTCCCCCCGGCTCAGAGCCCTCTTGGTGTGTCACGTGACAGCAGTGACCGGGACCATGTGGCCCCCGACGAACTGAACTGTCCCTCCCCAGCCGCGCTCCTGCCCCCTGCTCTCAGCAGGTGTCCGTTTCCAGAACCCTCCTCTTCCACCGGGTCAGCAGGTGGGGTTTGGTCCCCACGTCTGTGTCCCCCAGGGCCCGAGGCCCCTCTGCTGAGCAGGGACAGCTGCGCATCGACTCCCCAGGAGTGACTGGGTCTGGACCAGGGTCACATTGGGGTCATCATTAGCTGGTGCGGGGCTTTTTCTGGAACTGATATCTTTCCCCCAAAAGTCTGTTCACCAAGGTCAGTCCCAGGGGAGACCGCAGAGGGCTCACTTTGCTACCAGGCCATTTCAGAGGTTCACTTAAAAGAAAAACTTGTTTTGCAACTCTTTAGGGGGGTAAGAGCATTTTAAAGCAGCCATTGCATTTCTTATTTATAGTTTTTAATATTTAAGTCAGGTCTGCACAAGTCTAAAAGTTCACATTAGCTCTTTTAATACGGGAATTCTTCACTTGGGACCTGCGGGGCTGGCAGCCCTTCCTCCCTCCCCCCCCCCCCCTCCATCTTCGGCAGCGCAGGTGCACATCCACAGCGTGCAGAGCACATCTCTCCACCCCTGAAATCATGGTCAAACCTGGGGGGGCATGCCCGCATCCACGAGAAGGGCTGGTCGCACCCACTGTTCCGCCCGGGGCCTGAACACCCTGCCAAGAGGTGCCAGGCCTGTGTTCCTAAACCCTGAATTCTCTCTTGTGAAACTCCAAGGAATAGCATAAGATCTTGAGTTCAAGGCCAGCCTTGGCTACATAGCAAGATACTATCTCAAAAACAAAATCATCAAGAGCTACACTGGGTCCTGGCTGTGTTTCCTCTGACCCTCCATGAATACTGGGGTGCTTGTGCATAGCTGGCCGTTCTGGCTCATGAAATTGCTGCCAATTGTATTTGTTCTAAGTTTGCACCTTAAAACACATGTTTTCCAGCCCTCGGCCAGGGAGAGGGTCGGAACGTTTGTCCCCTTCCAGCCTCCTTTCCGTGGTCAGGTCTGATCCTAGCTTCACCAACTTCCCCTGTGGTAGAGCCTTTGAGTGTGTTTGAGACCACAGTCTGCCCGTTGTCCTGCCTGCTGTTTGGCTACCTAGTGAAGAGCTAGACCCAGTTGCCCACAGTGGCGAGCTCCAGTTGGCGGTTCAGCGCTCCATGTTTGGATTCCAGAGAGTCACCCAAGTAGACCAGTCCTGCAGTGTGTGGAGACCTTAGCCGGGCTCCAGGCTCAGCCCGGGGCGCGCCGGTGGCCGCTGCCCTGCCCTGCCCTCCCCTCGGTGTGCCCGCGGCCATCTCCACAGTGTCTTTCTGGTTCTGTTCGGTCCTTGAAGCTGACAATCTTATAAAATGTGAATACTGTAACGATATGTTTTCTTGGATTGTTGTCTTTAAAAAGGATTTTTGTGAAGCAGTTGATTTATCAATGCAAAAAAATTAAAAATAGAAACATGCCTTATGGATGTTTTGCTTTTATAAAGTTCATGTCACCAAAAGCTGCTTTTGCATGCATGTGGGTGCGTGTGTGGCACGGTGTCCTTGGGCTGCACCGGACCGTGCTATTGGAGAAGATTCTCTCACCCATCTGCGGGGGATGTAAAAACAAAACGCAGTCCATCCACACAATGGACGATTTCCCGGCTACACCGAGGGCCCCTCCCCCGCGAGAACAGACGGCTGAGCCACAGATGGTGTGATTGCATTTATGCGAGAGTCCACACTGGGGGAGACCGGAGGCCGGGCGGGGGAGCCAGGGCGGGGACGGGTGGGGAGGGACTGCTTCCCCCAGGGTGCTGTGGACTTAGAGGCGAGGGGACAGCGTGACGTCCTGAATGCGCCTTTGCTCCCGCGTTGTGGGTTTTCAGCTATTGAACTGCACCTAAATGGACACCCACAGTCTCAAGCCGCTCCAGTCGGCCCAGCCCGGGGCCTCCCCGTTGCCCCGTGCCCAGCCTGGCTTCCTGTGGGGAAGCATTAAAGAGAAGCCCGCTGCAGCCAGTGAGCCAGAGGGCGCCGTCTCCCAGCCCCGGTCTAAGCAGCTCCTGACCGTGGCTCCCGGCAGGGAGGTCAGGGGGCCCAGCCCCAGGAAGGTGAAAATCAGTCCGTTGCGTGTTCATAAAAGCAGGTGCAGACCCCCATTTATACCACACCTCAATGCTGGTCCTGCTCCCTGGCCGCCACGAAGCTCAGCAGGTCGATGGCAGTGACCACCCCGAACACCATCTGCCGCTGGCTGGCCTGGCCGCTGCTGTGGTCTGGAGGGAAGCAAGGGCTGGTGAGAGGTGTGGGGCGCAGGGCCGCTCTGAGCAGGGTCCGTCCCCAGACCTTCCCTGGGTTCTCGCCGGCACCTGCGTGACCCCCAGGGAGGCCCTATGCCACCACTCCGTCCTGAGCCTGTGGGCCCAGTCAGAGCAGCTCCTCCGCCCGGCCTAGCGGAGTCGCTGCCACCCCACCGCGCCCGGAGGCCCCGCTCCTGCCTGGGCTGCACAGCCCGGGCCACAGGCTTGGTGCAGAGCTGGACCATCGCCGCCACGCCGCGCCGCCCCGAGCTGCAGAACCCGTGCTTTTGGCACCGGCCAGGCCCAGTGCCACATGGAGCCCGTGGGTTGTGGTGGCAGACTTTAGATGAGGCCACCAGGAAGCCCGTGGCATGCTGGGCACGTCTGCTGCGGCGGGATTAGCACCAGATTCCATAAAAAGCACGGTGGCAAGCTTCACCCCGTAAGTAATGCAGTTTCCTACTTTGGGACGTGAACTGTCACATCCACTCTCCAGGGGCTCAGGGCTGCTACTCAGCCTTGGGGGCTTGGGAAGTGTCAGCTCCACAACCGTGTCCCCCAAGATGCATCCCTGCGGGGCCCCATGGTGAGCCCTGGTTCTCCGCGGGCCCTGCCTGCCGCCGACCTTACAAGGCTTGCAGAGCTTGCCCCCTGGCCATTTCCCAGGGGCTGGGACGGACGGGGCGTACATACCTGCAGGCCCCCCCACCACTCCTGACCAGGCCTGGTCCCGTGCTGTAGAGCCAAGGACGGGAGAGGGGGTTAGACATGGGGCTGCCCCAGGCGCCCACCACGCACAGCGCAGCCGGCGGGCGGGGTTGAGGCCTCACAACTGCATCCTGAGCTCTACAGCCCTTCTCTGGGCCCTGGGTGGACTCTGAGGAGGCTTCAGGTACAACAGGGCTCACAAAGTGTACGTGCTGCCAGAGCGAGGAGGCCGTGGGAGCCGAGGCAGCCTCCAGATTCTTCCGGGACTCTATGAGATAACCTGCCACCTTGGGGCTGGGATCCGGGATGAGGATCCCCTGCCTGGCAACCTGAGCCTCATCCAAGTACAGCCTGCCTGCTGCCTGCTGCCTGCCCGCCTGCCAGGCCCCTCGCACACACAGCTTGAGTCACAGGTTCCTGACTCAGCCCTTGAGCCAGGAGCCTTGGGTACCCAGACTGGTTAGTGCCACTCATCACCACTGCCCCCAAACGTGGGCACGGGCCTGGCAGCCGGATGCAGCGGGAAAGCACAGGAGGGAAGCTGAGCTGGACGATGCCCGTGTCCAAGCCCAGTGACCTCGCTCCCAACAAGACGCGGCGCGCACAGACCGCACTCACACTGGATCTGCTCGTGCACCACCAGCGCGAAGTGGTCCATCTCCAGTGCGTGCGAGAGCGTGCCCAGCGTGTCCGTCAGGCGGATCTGGAA